GCCGAGGTTCGCAACGTCAGTCGAGGAATTAGTATGTAGCCAAAGCGCGAGTCCAGGTGGTGGCACTGTTGCAGTCACTGGTTCTCAATTCAGAATTTAGTGGTCGATTGTGCTCCATAGTCCGATGTCCAGGGTGTCAAGACGTCTAATATTATGAGGTGTCACATCTTGAGATGTCCATAGTGCGCCAAAAATCTACCAGCTGACTGCGACTTTGCCACCAACCCAGCCGTATGGATTCGCTCTCTGAAACGTGATTAGTAAACCGTTCTGAGCCGAAAAAATTCAGGCCGTCCACATTTTGGTAAGAAAACACAGTCCAATGCACTACCAACTGGAAGACTCTGATGTGGGATCTACCAACTGGGCCGTGTGGACAAATCCAGCGACCATCGCGGGGCACACGTTTCCGCTTTTCCGCTTCCAGGCATTGGATGGGTGAGACTGCGCCCCCTCAGCACATTTCACACGAGCAAGAATCATTTGGAAGGTGTGAATATCAAACACAAGTCCAAATTGTCTTTGCTTCCTGCGTGTTTGTTCCTTGGACTGACTTTGGCCCATCAATTCCCTCAGATACTCACCTCAAACAGCCAAAGCTAGCAAGTGTCCCTCCCATCAGGACCATTCTTGAAATTGATTCATAAAAGCAGGGTTTCTTCTCATGGCTTTGTCCTCGAAGCTCCACCAATGTACCAACTTCCAAAGCATGCGGAGAGCTCTTACTTTAGGAATCTGGTTTCTTCTTGTGAGTGAGTGCTGAAAGAAACTCACATCGATGATATCTCACACTTGGGCCTTCAAATAAAGTCCAGCGCTGCCTGTCGGTCTTTGAGTTTCACGTCCTGGCAGTTGACAACAGAGCAAAGCACCCCAGGACTTCCCACACCTGTCCTCATTCTGCAAGAAACAAACCCGTCGCACTTCTGCATTGGCTTGGTTCACATCACTCTGCATGTCAGCCAGCCTCAGCTGCCACGGCTCAGCCAAGAATATCTGTAACTTCCCAAAGTAAAAAAGCTTTTGAGCTGAGTTTCCGTGGACATTCTGTTCATTCCCGTTCGTGCATGTGTCAAACTTGCAACCAAGCAACTGCTTCATGAACACAAAGAATGGAGGCGCAGTCCAATCATCCAACATCTGGTAGCCTCCCATGCCACCTGCTCCCATGCCGCCACCCATGCCGGGGGACATGCCGCCACCAGGGCCTCGATTCTGGTACCTGTGCTCTCGGGCATCGCAAATGAGCTTTGACATGCAGCCAAAGGCTCGACAGTGAATACAAATCGAAGAATCCTTGGACCCTTTGCAATAGAAGTTAAGAAACAAATCACAAGGAAAAAGGTAAAAAGAAACTACTGTAGCTGGGCCACTTGTTGTACATGTGTCCTGCAGCAGCTCCAGCTGCAGCTCCCACCATTGAGGTCAGCTTGCAGTTCATGCTGCATAGCCTTATAAGTCGAGCCCATATTCAACTTAAGAAGAATTTCAGCTATCTCAGCTATTCCTTTTGCAACTTTCAGTGGGGACAATGTTTGGTGACACGCCTTGAAGAGTCTTCGTTTGCAACGAAATCATTGAAGCTCTCTTCGACTACGGCTGGGACTGCCTTTCAATGGTGCTGATCCTCAGTGCAAAGCATGAGAAAGTGTGATCAACTGAAGAAATCAATTCGTGATGAAACAACGTCCAGCCCACTCCGAGCATCTGTTTTTTTCAACTTGTCCATGCTGTCCGCCGCGTTCTCTTCGTCCTCTGCGTCCTAGGTTTGCATGGCCGTTTATTCTAGCTTGATCAGTTTAAAGGCTACAAAGCTATAGACTTTTGGAGTTTATCTTCAAACATGGTCAGAGTTATTCGGGCATCTAGATGGAATTATCATCCCCTGTGGATTCGCAGCTCCCTTTCTGACCAAAACCATGACCATGCCACATTAGAGTTGCAAATAGACTAAAAACACAAGAACACGTGTGAGCATCTTTCTTTTGGATCCTCCAAGGCTCATCTTCATCTTTCTTGGAAAACAAGCTCAGTGGGTTCATGGCGCCCATCATGCCACCGATGGCCCCAGTAACTCCCCCAGGGCAGTGTGTCTGGCACAGCAGAAAGGCCAAACCGCCCGCGGCAGCAGCACCTCCAAATTCTTTGAGAGAAAAGGAGAAGTGAAGTAACATAGCGATGGCCTTCACCCTAGTAGCGATGATGGCCTCCTAGTAGCGA